GTTTTTGTTATTGTTTAGTCGCTCAGTCATATCCAACTCTTTGTGACCCCAGGGACAGTAGCCCACCAGGCTCCTCCATCCATGGGATTCTCCAGGCAAGAATACTGGAATGGCAGTATTCCAGTATTGGCAGAGGCAAGAATACATGCCCTCCTCCAGGGGATCTTCCCAATCCAGGGATAGAATCTGTCTCTTACGTCTCCAGCACGGGCAGGCAGATGCTTTACCTCTAGCGCCACCAGGGAAGCCCTGACAATGGTTTGTGATTCTTTAAATGTGTTGTTGGATTCAGTTAGCTAATAGTTTGTTAATGATTTTTGATCTATGTCCATCGGTGATATTGGCCTGCAATTTCCATCTTTTGTGCTGTCTTTGGCTTTGATATCAGGGTGATGGTGGCCTCACAGAATGATTTTGGAAGCATTCCTTCCTCTGCAATTTTTTGGAACAGTTTCAGAAGGATGGGTGTTAACTGTTCTCTAAATGTTTAGTAGAATTCACCTGTGAAGCCATCTGGTCCTGGACTTTTGTTTTGGTAATTGGTCAATTTCATTTCTGGTAATTGGTCTGTTCATATTTTCTATCTTTCCCTGGTTCAGTCTTGGGACATTATATATTTCCAGGAATTTTTCCACTTTTAGGTTTTCCATTTTATTGGTGCATACTCAGTTATAGTCATGTCTTAATGATCCTTTGTATTTCTGTGGTGTGGGTTGTAACTTCTCTTGCATTTCTGACTTTATTCATTTGAGCCCTCTCTGTTTTTTTCCCAAAGAGTCTGGCTAAAAGTTTATGAATTTTATCTCTTCAAAGAATCAGCTCTTAATTTCATTGATCTTTTCTATGATTTTTTAATTCCCTGTTTCATTTATTTCTGCTCTGATCTCTACGGCAGCACTTGGATATAAAACCAGGTGGTCTCCCTTCAGAGACAGGGCTCCCAACACCATGCCCTGAGCCTCACCTAACACGACAAGGCTGGCGGACAGGTGGGAGTCTGGCCAGTGTCCACATGGAGCAGGGGAAGGGCAGCTGTGCTTACCTGGCACCTGCTGTGAGAGTCAGGGCCACACTCCAGACTCCACCCGTCCTCATCACAACCCTCTGAAAAGCATCACTGACTTCACTCTTTGTGAATGAGGGCCCTGGCGATCAGAGAGACTAAGAGATGGTACCAGAGCCCACACAGCCAGAGAGAACAGAGGCTGGACTCAAACCCAGGTTCTTCACACTCCTGACCTTCCAGGACAGTCATCCTGTCCATTTAGAAGCGGCACCTCCCTTTTTGAGAACTCCTGCTCCACCAGCATGTCCATACCTGCCTGAACCTGGGGTCCAGTCGTTTCCATAAAACATTGATGTGCTCATCCCTGGGCCTGTCCCAGCCCTAGTTAACCTCATCTCTGGACGGGGCCCAGGTTCCCCAAGAGGTCAGCGCAGGTGGCCTCGGCCCAGCCTTCAAAGCCAGGACCCAGGCTCATTCCCCCACCCCCATCCTCTGGTGACCTGTGACTCGGCATCAAGGAGTTCAGGCAGTTGCTGCTGCTAATCAGAGATGCTGACCCCTGCTAGTGGATCACCCTCCCATGGAGCAGAGGGTCCTGATTAAGTTAAAAATCTCATCTCCTTGAAAAGGCCCTGTGGAGTGAGGGGTATGGATGCTCCAGGCACCCACTGCAGTTATTTGGGCCTGGAGGCTCCCCAGAAAGCTAGGGTGACCATCTGGCTACACCAGCTACAGAGGTAGCTGCTCTGAGGTCACCGACCTGAGGGACACCTTACCCCTGACCCCACCCTGGAACTCCTTGTGGTCTATGGACTCCTGGGAAACACGTATGCACCAGACACTGAACTCTCTATGAATTCTCATAGCCCGGCAGAGGAAGGAAGTGGTGTTCATTTCACAGATTAGAAAACTGAGGCCCAGAGAAGCAGCATGCCCCTCCGAACAGAGGCCTCTCAACCTAGTTGAGGTCTCAGCACTGAGGTGGGTGTGGGCTGGGCCACATGGAGGAGAGGGTCACTGCAGAGCCTGACAGCCAAGGCCCTTGGTGTGGCCCATAAACGCAGAGCAAGGTTACTGCTTCTTGAGAACACATGAGGTCTGGCAGGTGGACATGGCCTGCTCCCCATCAAGCCTCTGCTGGGGGCGCCAAGCAGAGCCAGCCTTCCATGGAACTCAGAGCAAGACCCCCGGCCTGGATCCGCTGAGCCCCAGGGCCTCCTCACCTGCAGAAAATACACCGTTTCGGACAGTCATTGTGAGGATGGGATGTGAGGGTAGGGGACTCTGAGCAGCTCCGGAGCGAGGCGCATGCCCTCAGACCTCGGTCCCCTCTGCTACCAAAGTGTAGGAAACACTCTCATTTCAGCCAGATCCTGAATTAGACTAAAAATGGCCCAGTAGCCAAAAATGTAAACTGTATCTGTTGACGGAGTTTAAATTCCTAGAAGACACTTACATTGCCTTTATCAAATATTAACATTTAGTTTTTTATTTGACCCCACCAGGTCTTAGTTGCAGCATGTGGATTCTAGTTCCTGACCAGGGATTGAACCCAGGCCCCTTGCACTGGGAGCACCGAGTCTTAGCCCCTGGACCCCTAGGGAGTCCCTATTGCCTTTAAATAAAATGCCCATATTACTTTTCTCATCCTCCCAACTCAAAGGCCAGAAAATGTAAAGCTGGGCAAAACCCTTTTCAGGGAACTTATACATGTTTATAAAACATATAATGATGGCAATATTTTTAATATTTTCAATCAACCCAGCAATTCGGTAACTTGAAAACTCTGCTTCATAAATGAGAACATGTGAAGGCACAGAATAAAAGACTTACTTGGCTAAAGTCACAAAGCAACTGAGAGGGCATACCTGGTCAGACCTTTCCACCTGAAGTGTCACAGCCTCTAAAAAGCCCATAGTCGCAACTGGTTTATTGAGAGACGAATGGGGTTCCACTTAGGAAAGGGGGTTGTCTGAGAGGACCGGTCAGGTTTCTGTGGCCCAACCAGAGCAGCTATTGGCCAAGTCCTGGCCATTAGAAGAGAGGGCCCCCCTCCCTGTCTGCACTGCCGTCCTCCTCTGCTCACTTGTCTTGGATGGTCCCTAGCCTTCCCATCATCCTCCATCCTTGTGCTAAGACGCAGTGAACTTGGCAGTGAGTGAAATACTACTCTCTGCTTCTCTTCTTGGGGGAAATCCATCAGTAATTAGACTCATTTTTCAATTTTGCCACCTAGAAACAGAAAATGCCCATAAATCTCCCCAAACAGAAATGAAATGTAGCTGATTTAATTACCAAGGAGTAAACAAGGTGATTCTGCCTCCATAAGACACCCAAATGCTTTCGTAACTGACTCATTAAACTACTGTAGAAACGATTATTCTCTGTGAGGCAGAGGTGGGGTGCTGGAGCAGACACGGGCTTTCATGGGAAGGTGATGGGCTGGTGCTACTCTGGTGGCAGGGGAGTGGTGTCAGGGACCACAGGGCGGGGGAGTGGAACAACCCAGTGGTGATGGCATTGCAGACAAGTCTGTGACCAGACAGGCTTTGTCCTTCCTCACCAAGACCCCCTCTCCTTCCCCAAGTCCCCAGGCCACCCTCCCTCCCCAGGCCATCCTGTAGGAAGACGCTCTCAAGCTGTCTCAGGTGGGTTTACCTACAAGGAGTGGGTGGGTGCTTTGGGAGCCTCACTAGGGTAGGATTGGGGTGACCACAGCCTCTAACTCGTCTGGGGTAACCCCCATACACTGTGTCCCCATGAATTAGTCACAGGCTCTCTTTCACTCTCAAAACTGCCCTTGTTTGGATGGTAAACTGTATGGCCACTCTGTGCATCCAGCAGGGAGGGGACAGGTTGTAAGTTGGCACCAATGGATAGATGGTCGTTGTGTTGAAAAGGATGCTGAGGTCGTGATGTGGGTCAGCAGGTGAGTTCACAGTGATGGCTGAGTGGTGTCTGCTGGAGTCGGTTGGGGGGTGGGGGCAGACAGGCCAGCAGGTAGAGGCGGCTTGCATCCAGGGTCTCTGCGGCCCCAGCATTCATTGTCCCACCTACCATAGGGTTTATATCCACAAGTCAGAGCAGCAGCATAATGCAGGGACAGTGAATACAATGTTTAGGGAGCTATTTCCCCATCCAGATGGGGAGAACAGGAGCTGGGAGCTAATCCCCTGGCTCCCCCCACCCTCAGCCCCAGACCCTCACAGCTGAGGAAGCAGTGCCAGGAGGACTGGGTCCAGGCATCACTTCCCTGGTGGGCTCCACAGCTGTGGGAGGGGACCAAGCCCTCCTGCTTCCCCCACTTGGGATGTCAGCCTTTCCTGGGTACCTGGACTCCCTCGGCACAGGTCAGGAAGCCCCCGCGCACCCCGCATAGGCTGGGGCACATTCTCAGCATCACAGGTGGATACTCAGGGCTCTGTGCTTGTTTTTAGTGGGTCTGCACATATTTCAAACGGTTCTGGAGATCAAAGAAACAGGGGGTCCCTGCTGAACCTCAGCATAGCCTCAGGGCACAGTGATCCCCAGGACTCAGGCCTGAGGAGGCCACAAGGAGTTGTGAACTCACAGGCCCAGAGGCGCCAAGGCATCAGCTTCCTCAGCCATGCCGCTCTGCACCCCCGGATGTTTCTATGGCAACATATGGTGTTTTGAAAAGATGACCAAGCTGTTTCACTTGCTTACGCTTTCTTGTTTGTTTTTTGGTTTTGAAGAGGGGGTTGGAATGAATTCTGTAAGGACTCTCATACCTCTAACGTCAGGGGAACACATCGCTGCTCACAAGAGCAGTGCCACATGCACACTGACACACTCACACACACATTCACACACTCTCACCCACCACACAGATCACTCTGCCTGATCTTCTTGGCGTCTGGCACCTGCCTCTTCCCTGGGTTCTTTTCCGGACCCATCTTCCTGACTTCTAGGCCCTTTTCAGCTCTGGCTCAGACCCTTAAACCTGAGCGGTCTTGTCCCGCTTGTGTCTTAGAGGATAAGCGAGACCAGGGAGGCAGAGAGATGAATGGACCTCGGGCCTTGGGTCAGGAAGTCCAGCAGGTCCTGGGTCCCAGGCGTGTGCCTCCCAGGCCTCACCTTCTCAGTGTCCCAGTCTCTCCAGCAGCAAGGTAGCTCGGATCATCTCTGAGTTCCTTTGTCTCTCAGACCCCGTGGTTGTACACAGGACGCCGTCACTCCTGCCTGGAGACAGTTTCCATGACGTGGACGCGCTGTCTCAGGCCGATGCTATCTTCAGTGGGTGGAGCCAAGCCCCAGCTCTCCTCTGACAACAAACTCTCCAGGACCTACTTGTCCAGCTGCCCCATGAGCCCAACTCCCCTCTGAGCCCGCCCCGCATGCATCTGACACGAGCAGCTTGGTCTTGAATCCAGAAGGGGTCTCCTGGCCTTGGCACCTGGAAGCGCACATTTGAGACCTTTCCCAGAAGCCTCTGGGGCACCTGGAGTTGAGGACCAGTGGCCCACGTGCTGAGGAGACTGGGTCAGATCCCACGGCCAGATCTCCTCCAGTCTGTCTGGATGGGGCCCAGGGTTCTGCCCTTTTTAACTTTGCATCTCCAAACCCTGAACTGGGCTCGGAAGGCCACCACTGGCTCAGTGTCTCGGGGATGGGGAAGATGTGCTTGAAGGGGTGGGGTTGTGGTGAGCCAGCAATTCACCAGCTGGGTGGGCTGCAGATGGTGTATCCTCCCGGGATGCCCCATCCACAGTGTGGGTGGGACCTGGGGGTCTTCAATGAGCTCCTCCTGACCCACAAGGAGGAGCAGTGGGTCTGAGGTCTGAGCAGATGACTCCTGGAGGCCAAGGCTCCTGTAGAGCGAGCATCCATGTGTGAAGGCCACGGGCAGCCTCCGCCCAGTGGGGTCACGACAGCTCCACGCTGGAAAGCAGCTGCTGGGGCGGAGAGTGGAAGGAAACGGTGAATCAACCCTGAGTTGGCTGGAGCCAAACCAAGTGTAGACTCCTGTAACAGAGCCTCATCCACAGCAGGGCTCTCTTAGTGGGCGGAGAGGGGGGAGGACCACCGCACCCCGCCCCCATCCAGTGCTCACCCCATCCTGGGAACGCCGGGGCTCCTGCTGACCTGGTCTCGGTCTTTGGCCAAAGAGTTTTGTTTTCTAAAGGAAAGGTCGGAGCACGTGGGCAGCTGCCTCTGTCTCCTGACCAGTGGAGGTTCCCAGACTCCAGTTCTGGGTTTCAGGAGGCTGGGCTGTAGCTTCTGGGTTTGTGACTCAGAACTGTGGCACTTTCTCTGCACTTCCAACTCCGCCCTCAGCTCTCTCATCCTGAGTTCTCTCCTGAGAAGTTCAAGCAGGTGTTCATTGATTAAGATTTCTCAAAGGTGTGCAGTTTTCCCACCACCCTAATTTCTGCCTTTTAAGACTAGAAGACTAGTGGATCTGAGCGTGCTTGTGGAATAGACTGTGGGGTTGGGGATGTGGCAGGGGTCCCTCCCAGCGTCCCCCTGATCCGACCACAGAGGGGCCCCTTCTCTACCGGCTTGGGGGACCTGTGGGGTCAGAACTTTCCAGACCCCCCCCCATCTGATGACCTTCTCTCTTTACTTGTGTTTCCTAGGAGCGGGTGGAGTATCTCTTTCTCATCATTTTTACTGTGGAAGCATTTTTAAAAGTCATAGCCTACGGACTCCTCTTTCACCCCAACGCTTACCTCCGCAACGGCTGGAACTTACTAGACTTTATCATCGTGGTTGTCGGGTGAGTACCAACTCCCACACCGCCAGCCACCTTGGCCGCTTCCCTTCCGCACGTACCTGCATCTTTTTTATTTGGTCACAAGGGCCCTGGGCTTCAGGCCAGACCAGAGGATCTATTTAAAATCCCTCTAGATTCAGACTTTCTGCAAAGGGAGGGGAGCTGTTACCTGGAATAGTCCGGTGCTACTCCCACCTGCACGCCCATACCTGCACACACACACACACACACACACACACACACACAGGGGAATCGAGGGTTTCTGCTGGAGCCCAGGGTCCTCTCTGCAGCCAAGGAAAAGCCTCAATCTTAGGTCTTTTATTCCATCTCCAGCCTCACCTGGCCTATGTTCCTGGACGGCTCCCCCCGAGGTGAGGCAGAGCAGGTGTGTTTGGGCTGGACGTGACCCTGCAGCCACTGTGAGGGAGGGGCGGCTGGCACACGGGGGCCGAGACCCCTACCTGCAACTGAGGGTCCTCACTCAGTGGCTGCCCGTGACTGATGGGCGAGAGGAAAACGGGACTAGGAAGGGCCAGGGGATGGGACCAGACGCACTTCTCGGGAGAAGAGTAGGGGAGAAGTGCAGGAGAGAAGTGCAGGAGAAGGACTGGCACCACCTACACTCAGAAGCAGAGCAGCGCCAGCATCTGCAGGAAACCTCGGGGCTGTGATCTCCTTGTCGGGCATCAGTAACTTTGGGGAAGAGTCTTTGTCAAATGTTGGTACAAACAAGCCCGCACGCGCTGCTGGAGATGCAGGTACGGTTGACCAAGCTCCTGCCACTTGTCCAATCCATGCAGGGCAGGGTCCCCACGCCTCGGGGCTGACCTGGCGCTATGTCAAACCCACCTGGCACTCATGCCCTCTCCAGCCCCACAGCCTCTGGGGTCAGGTCCACGTGCTAATGGGCTCTTATCTAGGGGACCATTCCAGCCAACCCCGGCGGACACTGCCTTGATGGCTTCCCCAGAGAGCACCCTGCTCGGAGCCCATGGGCATCTGGCCTCTCCTGCAGGAAGCGACGAAGCAAGTCAGGGCCACGTGGGAGCGAGACCCTGTCTCCGGGAGTCTGGATGGCTTCTCGCAGGTGTCTGAGCGGTGTTAGGGTTTTCACCGCTGTACTTTTTGCCTGGCTGATGCGTGACGCATTTTGCAGTAACTTAAGGGACACTGGAGACACAAGGGACACGGAAGCTCCTGAGCTGTTAGCCACATGTGGACGTCTGGTGAGGAAACAGCTCTACAAGAGGTCCTGTTCACACTGGGTGAACAGAGTGACCAATGAGCGCCTTGAACTGACTCAGCAAACCATGGCGAAGGTCTTTAGGGCGGTTGTTCCTCACGCATCTGCATCCTTTTCAATTCAGCGTCTTCCTCTTCACTCAGTGGCTGCCCATGACTGATGGGCGAGAGGAAAACGGGACTAGGAAGGGCCAGGGGATGGGACCAGACGCACTTCTCGGGAGAAGAGTAGGGGAGAAGTGCAGGAGAGAAGTGCAGGAGAAGGACTGGCACCACCTACACTCAGAAGCAGAGCAGCGCCAGCATCTGCAGGAAACCTCGGGGCTGTGGTCTCCTTGTCGGGCATCAGTAACTTTGGGGAAGAGTCTTTGTCAAATGTTGGTACAAACAAGCCCGCACGCGCTGCTGGAGATGCAGGTACGGTTGACCAAGCTCCTGCCACTTGTCCAATCCATGCAGGGCAGGGTCCCCACGCCTCGGGGCTGACCTGGCGCTATGTCAAACCCACCTGGCACTCATGCCCTCTCCAGCCCCACAGCCTCTGGGGTCAGGTCCACGTGCTAATGGGCTCTTATCTAGGGGACCATTCCAGCCAACCCCGGCGGACACTGCCTTGATGGCTTCCCCAGAGAGCACCCTGCTCGGAGCCCATGGGCATCTGGCCTCTCCTGCAGGAAGCGACGAAGCAAGTCAGGGCCACGTGGGAGCGAGACCCTGTCTCCGGGAGTCTGGATGGCTTCTCGCAGGTGTCTGAGCGGTGTTAGGGTTTTCACCACTGTACTTTTTGCCCGGCTGATGCGTGACGCATTTTGCAGTAACATAAGGGACATTGGAGACACGAGGGACACGGAAGCTCCTGAGCTGTTAGCCACATGTGGATGTCGGGTGAGGAAACAGCTCTACAAGAGGTCCTGTTCACACTGGGTGAACAGAGTGACCGATGAGCGCCTTGAACTGACTCAGCAAACCATGGCGAAGGTCTTTAGGGCGGTTGTTCCTCACGCATCTGCATCCTTTTCAATTCAGCGTCTTCCTCGAGGCCTGAGTCTCCTAGGAGCCTTTCACAGACTCGCGGGAAAGGCCCAGGACTGAGACATGGTGCTTCTGGGGCCAGCAGAGGAGAGCGGTCTCCAGGGAGAGGAGCTGTGTCTTCTCCCATCCGCAGGATGGACTGGCCTTGGTCTGTGCCACGTTCTGCCCCATCCGCGGCCTTCACCTGTGCACAGGGTGGGGGCAGCAGACACGGGCAGACCTCGGACAGGGCCCCTGCTGAGTCTCTGCTTGTGTGGACTCCACTCCTCCTGCAGAGTGGGCGGCTCACGGGTCAGCCCAGATCCCAATCCCATCTGCCCAGGCCAGGCTGTCAGACTGAGGAAGGGAGAGAGGCGTCCAGGCTTGGCACCCTTGCAGATGTGCCTCCAGCTGACTTCACAACACGGAGGCCATGATGCCAGCCCCGGCGCACCTGTGGTCCACCGAGGCCCTCTGGCTTTTTCCCACTGATCACACACTTGGGACCTGGTTTCTCCTCCCCGAGTTGCTAAGTCTTCAGGGTTCTCCATCCAGTCTCGATCTTGGCCCATCCTTCTAACTCAAAATGTGGCACACGCCCCCCACGAAGGGCATGGCCCAATCACCTCTCTTCTGCCATGCCCACCCCCCGCTCCCCCCCTTCCCAATCCTTTACCTGGATGTGCCCACCCTCCACGTGCCCCATTCCTTTTGGAAGTGGAAGTGGAAGCATCTCCTAGAAACAGTGGGGACACAGGTGCTGAACCTCAGAGTCTCTGTGAGCTACACCCCCCCATCCCCACCAGTTGCCTGTGGAGCCCTCCCCACCCCTTCCCACCCAGGAGCCCTCCCTGCCCCCACTGGGCATCCTGGAGCCCTCAGTAGATGCACCCACTCTGACCATCTACTCCAGCCTCAAGGGTCTGTACTGTGTCTCCATCTCCCTTCCGGTATGGGCCCTGCCTCTCAGCTCACGGGCCCTCCAGAGACTGTTGTCCAGTCTCGAATGTTGGGCTAAAGAACTGACAGGCACAGTCCGGGGGGGGAACGCCTGGAGATAGCCCCCCCACAAGCATCCCCATGTGCTCCCAGTCCTGGATGGCGGGGAGCACGAAGCAGTGTTTTCACCTCCACGGTGTCTGAATGAGGAGCAGCACACGGCCTCCGTGAGTGGACACCTTCCAGACCCAGTCCCAAACTTTCTACCCCTTCAGGGTTGACAAAGGGGAAGGCTGTTCAGTCTCCGATTCCCTCCCTGAATAATATTTGTGGACATCTTGTACATCGATAAGTGTGTTCCTTTCTTCCAGGAAATTCTAGGAACCAAATCTGGTTTAGATTGGGGATGTTGTTCAACAGACATGCAGACTGTTTTCCTCAGTTTCAGTAGAAAGACTTCTCTGTGGAGAAAGGACCCGGCTCCCCCCAACCCTGGCCACCCCTGCCTGGATCACAGGCATCACCAGCTAACACGGGGAACCGTCCAGCTGCCAAGCTGGGGTGAAGGAACCCTAGAGCAGGAAAGATGTCAGACTTGGTCCGGGCGACTCGTCAGAACTTCTGGCTGCAGCCCCCGCTGTGCAGGCAGCCTACTCAGGGCCCCCAAGCACAAGACAGACCGAAGGGAAGCCACTCTTGCCCCGTCTCACCGCCCTCTCTTGAACATGTGTCTGTCAACCTTGTCCCTGTCAGTCCACCAGACACACCTGCTGCCAGGGTCCCAGGGGGCCCTGCGCTTCCAAGCCAGTCTCCCATCCTTGTACCTGCGGCACCGCATCAGTTTCCATAGGACCCTTTGTTTCTGCCCAGGTTCAGGTCAAAGACAGAGGCTTGTCAGGAGAGAATGTGGTTCCCGGGCACACAAGCCTAGACGTCGTGGGGGGCAGAGGGCATCGAGGAGGGACAGGCCCTGGCAGCGGCCCCCACCTGCCTGACGCTCTGCCCACGCGGCCGATGCCAGAAAGCCCAGCTTGATGCTGGCGCCAGGCTGCCAGGGCCTCGGTCAGACCTCTCCGGGCAAGCGGGGACCTGCCTTTAGGTACCGTCATCTGATGAGAGTCAGACCCTCCAGCACACCTAGACTTTCCTGACTGGAGCCGCCTGCAAATCCCACTGCCTGGCATCCCTGGAGAAGTCGGAGCCCCGCCGGGCAAGCAGGACGTCCTGATGTCCCCTCTCTCCTTCTATTCCAGGCTTTTCAGCGCAATCTTAGAGCAAGCGACCAAAGCCGATGGGGCCAACGCCCTGGGAGGGAAGGGTGCTGGATTCGACGTGAAGGCGCTGAGGGCGTTCCGTGTGCTGCGGCCCCTGAGATTGGTGTCCGGGGTCCCGAGTAAGTAGCTCATCCGTTCAGCCATGTGACCTCTCCACTGTTCCTGCTCACCCATCCTCAGTTGCCAAGGAATCTGGTTTCCTATAAATGGAGGGTTTCCTTGAATGGGTCCCTTTGCTGTAAAGACCCCAGCTGTGATGTGAGTCCATTAAAACCCACCATGGCTCCTGCTCACGTGCCCCCTGGCTGAGACAGCTGCACAGAGAAGAGCCTGTGGCCATCTGCACAGCCCGGCCCCCACCCCAGGCCCCCTGGGCTGGGAATTTAAACACATTTGCAGCAGAAAAGCAGAGAGCTAATCCCCCAGGCTCTCGGGGCACAGAGCTGACAGGATTATCTCTACCGTCTGTATTTTTTTTTCAAAGAACAATCAGAAAAGCATCAGTGGATGTTCAAAAAGTCCCATTTTGCCACCTCTCTCAACCTCTCCTCCTTTCATGTCACGTGGGGTGTCTCCAGCCTCAGAAGCCCTATTTTTGGACCTGTCGCCTATCGAAGCGAGAGCTAGCTTTCCCTGAGGGTGGAGGGTGCTGGCCTGAGTTGGGCAGATGGGTGTGGGAGAGACTGTCCATCAGGGGATGGGCCTGGGTCAGCTCCCCATCCCCGATCCTGCAGGAACCCCCCACCCCACCCCATTGCAGAGCAGCCCCCAGCCCTGCACACAGAAGGTCGGGCTCCCAGCATCCACTCCAGCAAAGCCCAGCCCAACCTGCTGCAGGCTCAGTCCACTTTCTGAGAAGTCCTTCCACTCCTTGTTCACTGGTGGTCCCTGAACCTAAGATAGGATGTAGGTGCTGGGATGTGTCACAATCCACTCAGCTTCTGGCCTCTAACTCAAGGCAGAGGGGGTCCCCAAACCAGGCTGCAGCCAGACTAGCTTTGGAGATGGGGCCAGGCCAGGAAGGCAGGGGGGGCTCTGCACCCCCCACCTTTACACCTGCATTGCCACCAACCTGGGGACGTTGTCCTGCTCGGCAGGTGAAACCTGCCTGGGTGCAAAATTGTGGGGACACGGGGACCTTGTATTAGCCTGTCCAGCCCCTGCTGCACCTGCACACAATGTTGGGAACATCCCCTAGAGTAATTGAACTGGCCACAGTGGGGGCCCAGGCTCGTAACTCAGACCAGCTCTCCCCGCCACATGCACGACTTCCTGTAAGGAGTTCCAAGCACGTAACGCCCAATGTCTTCAACAATTTACCCTCGTACCTGCCTCTGCAGTTACCTTGTAAGCCCCTGGAAGCCCAGACATGCCCCGCACTCTCTGACGCCTGCACGGTGCCTCAGGGCAGGGGCACTTCCTGGATGGGCGATGGCAGGAGTCGGGGGCCCTGGGCAGTGGTGGCCTCTGTTAACTCAGAGGGAGTGTAGATGTGGTCACACAGCACAGGTAAGCAGATTTCCTCTGCCTGGCCTTAACCACTGGCACTGGGAATGGAAAGTGTACCTCACGGCTGAGACCCAAGACCTTTTAGCAAAGCTGAAATTATGGGGTTTTCATGGTCGATCAGCCATCACTCAATAAGCCAAGCTCAGGGAATGGGAAGACGGGTGACAGTGAGTCTGTCACAGGACTCACATGGCAGGACTTCCATCTGGATGCCCCCCGGCTGGCCTCAGCCCCTTGGTGTCCACAGAAACGGCACCTTCTCAGGGGCCTGTCCCACTGCTGTGTCCTCCGTCCATCTCTGCTTTCTTCCCCCGCTTCACCCTCCACCCTCCTCCCTGGTTTATTTACTTCACACCCCTCACCTCACGAGAACAACCAGGTTTTGTATCATTCACTACTATATTCTTGTCACCCACTATTGTCTACAAAACGCCAGGTCAGTCTTTGTGGGGGGACTGGCCCCTCGTGGCCGAGCACAGGCTCCACATGGTGGGGGCAGAACCCTAACACCCACAAATGACACCAGGGCTAAAGACCTTCCTTCCCGGGCGCCTTCTTTAGTGTTTCTGAAGGGTTTTTTCTTCTGTGTTATTCGATCTTCGTGGCAACTGTGCACTGTGCAGCTGAACACGCAGGTGCTGTTTCTACGGCAAATATGCTGACTGGGTGGTTTGCGGGACCTGAAAGCCCACGCCCACGAAGTTACCGTTACTCTCTGCGTCCATACATGTATTAAATGCCATGGACTCTCCGGATCATGGATACGGAGGGTGAGAGATGGTGGTGAGGGTACAAGCCCATGAGTCATTTATTAATTTGTTCAACAAAACCCACCAAGTGCCTACTTCATAGAGGACTTTTCTAGCCTCACAACAGATACAGAGGTGACTCAGACACTAAATGTGTTCTCAGAGAGACTGAAGTGTCAAAGAAAACATGTTCATAGAAATGATGGTGTAGAGCAAAAATAGAGATGTGCAAATAAAAAAAGCAGATGAGTTCTGTGACCAGTGTGCTCTGGGGGACTCCATACTCTGGGGAGTGCAGATAGTGATCAGGAGAGGCTTCCTGGAGGAGGTGGCACTCCTTGGAGGAGGAGGAAAGGCCTTGAAGAGTAGGTAAGGAGGGGAATCTGGGACCTCAGGACAAAAAGGTAGGATAACTATGGCCCTGGAGACGTGCACAAGGAGATGGAGGATGAGGGGTGGGTCTTGCTGTGGGTGTAGAAATCAGGACACTCTCAGGACATGCTGTGTAGCTGAAGCTTGTCCACTATGCTCCAGGCATGCTGCAGTGGAGCCTGATGGACAAGTTACTATCAGTGACACAAGCGACCAAACCAGGGAAGTCGTGACTTTTTATGCTCTACCTGAAGAAGCTTAAAAATTTATAGGGACCAAGAAACGTAACCTGTTTACTGAGATGTACAGACTTCCCCAGGAGGAAAATGTCCCTTTTCGATTTGAACACAAAACGCAGGTGGTGACAAATGTCCGGGTTACCACCTGCTAAATGCAGAGTTGGGTGTCTGAGTCAGGATCTTGGCCTCCAAGAGCTTCATTGGTGGGTTGGCCGGCCCAGGGGTCCAGGAAGACAGGGCTTTAGCCCTAATTTACAGGCAGGCACACGCAGCCCAAGTGCTTCTCCCAGGGCCATGAATGGAGATGGACTCAGGCCATTTTTAAGGGCAGGGTCATCCCCTACAGCAAACCGGCCTCTGCCACTGGGGGAGACATAACTGGCCATGGTTGCCCACCTGGCTCTCGAGACAGGCACAAGCGATACTTCAGGTGTTGGTGTATTTGCCTTTCAGTGGTCCCTGAGCCCTGGCCACATGGGCTGAGAAGTGGTCCTCTTCTCCGTGAGGGCCTCAGGAGAGTAGGAGCACTAAGGGCCTGCAGTGCGGACACCAGGGAGCTGAGTCTGGTCAGCCGTGTGACCTGCCCTTTAACCTCTGACCTGCAGTTTTTGCCCTGGGAAATAAAAGGGTTAAATTGTCTCAGCCCTGAAATTCTGAGCAGTATCGTCCTGTGCCTCAGTGACAGAGAATAGCAGTGAGCTGAGAACTTCTCTGGAATCACTAATTCCAGCCTGAGTCCCAGGCAGGGAATGACCCTCGTGGGCTCCCATCATGACGGCCATCAGTCCAGACAGGGCAGTTCCCCAAACCCTGGCCTTGTGCCCAGGACTGCAGTGGATGGTGTCAGTCACACTGAGACAGAGCTTCCTAAAGTCCAGAAGCCCTGTCATTGATTCTCTTTAATGCCTGGCCCTTCTGTGGAAATCCCAAACCTGAAATTATAGCCAACAGTAAGGTGACTGTCACCTGATTTAAAATAATGGTCATAGTAAAGGCCACTTACACTTACAAGTGACCCATAAATGCTGGAAAGAAAAATGAGGGGAGCGGAGGTGAAGACACAGTGAAGTCAGTGTCCTGTGAAGTGATCAATTTGAAGAACATGAACCCAAACACCTGTGATACCGGGTCTGTTCCCTCTGGCTAGCTCCAGATGATGAGTGGCCACGGATACTGGCATTGAGGTCCCACTCCTTAGGCTCAAGTCCCCGGAGCCACCACCTGTAGGCTGTGTGCCTCTGCGTCCTGATTGATTAATAATGGGGGTTAAAATTGCACTTATGTCAAGGAGCGGTTGTGAGAATTAAATACTCAAGGGCTTGCAAAGCATTTAGAATTGTGGTCAGTGTGTAAGATGCATTAGCAAATTTTAGCTCCTGGTATTTCTACGAGTCCAACTCCCTGTCTGCTGAACTCAGGCTCCAAATGGGACCAGTGAAAGGAAGGGGATACTTCCATACTTAACTTTTTAAAATCCACTTTATTGAAGCGTTATTTATATTCAATAAAACTCATACATGTTAAATGTACAATCACAAATGTAAGAGCCTTAGCATAGTACACTTTCACTAACACAACTCTCTCCCCTGTGTGAGCCTTATACATTTTCTACTTCTTGTTCAGTTGCCAAGTCATGTCTGACTCTTCACAGCCCCATGGACTGCAATACATCAGGCTTCCGTATCCTTCACTATCTCCTGAAGTTTGCCCGAGTTAGTGTCCATTTAATTGGTGATGCCATCCAACCATCTCATCTTCTACTTACATGAGCATTATAAACCCCCCACCCTGTGTTAATATTTCCTGCTTTAATAAGTTGTCTTTTAAGTAAATTATGAGAAAAAGTAAAAATGTAAAAGCTTTTATATTTGCCCACCTATTTACCATTTCTGAGACTGTCTAATCCTTTCTGTAGATCTGCATTTCCTTCTGGTATCATTTCCCGTCACTCTGAAGGACATGTCTATGGTATTTCTGTGAAAGAGGTCTGCTGCTGATGAATTATCTCAGTTTTCATTATCTGAAAGTGTCTTCAGCCCTTCCTCCTCTTGAAGAATATTTCCACTGGATATATAATTCTTGGTTGACAGCTTTTTCTTTCATGTTAGAGATGTTGTTCCACTTTCTCTTGGTCTCAGTTTTCTCTGAGTCACTGATATTCTCACCGTGGTTCCCTGTATATATGTTTCTTCTTTCTTGACTGTTTCTAGATTTTCTCTCTATCTTTTGTTTTCAGCACTGGACTGTGAA